TGTTAAAATCGTTTTTCTTATACTTATTTCTAACCTCATTTTAATAACTTTAAATTATAGTTAATCTTTTTTGTTGTCTATAATAGTACATAATATTGAAGAGGCATTACAAATTATAATTTTAGAAGGTTTAGATGACGATTATATTAAATATTTAATATTAAAAAACTTCGAACGGATACGAATGTTGGCGAGCGCACCCGAAAGCTGTAAAGTCGCCACTATCTGCTGCCCTTAAACATCCACAATTAAGGACAGGCACAACCTTTAATAAAATCAGTTTTAGAACATAAACGATATGCGCATGCTTAGATGTCAAAATAAGAGCGACACTAATAGTGACTGACCTTAAGTGAACTTGCAATTGGGCATTCCAAACAAAATGGCTACCAGTGGGTTTTGACAAGTTATGACATGGAGAAATGATGGCAACTCTGTAGAGCTGGTGATTTGGCAAAGTCAATGAAATAGATAGTTACGTAGATTGATCATCTATATTTTTTATGCTTAAGCTTATGCCTTAAAGTAAACATTTAGGTAATTATTTTTTTTTATTATATTTAAAGGCTAAATATTGATTTGTAAACACATTTTTGCAAAATTGATTCTGATTAATGAGCACTTGCGAGTCAATATGGCCGCTCGTAAACGACCCGCTTCGGCAATCTATATAACTATGTGTGTATCATTGACTCTGTTTATGACAACAGGCGCACAGGGTTGCCATATCTAAATGACAGTTCCCACTTGTCAGCAGTTTGACAGGTCGTTGGAATGCCTAATAACCACATACTTTGATTTTCTTTTACTATACGGAGAATGGTCGCACTGCGCAGCTTTCTGAGTGCCTTTTAAAAGGAGATAGAAAACTCCGCCATTTTGAACCCTTATTACGTGTTGCCTACATCTTGGCGCAATATTTTTAATAGGTGCGTTTTAATCATCCGCTTCTGCTTCGGAATTGTCAGTTTTCTTGTTTTAATCTGACAGGTTAAAACGACTAAACCGACAATTCCGGAAGCAGAAGCGGATGATTAAAACGCACCTGATATTTTGCTCGCTGCTGTCAGTGTCAGTGAATATTATTTTTGAAGTCACAGTTTATTGCTAAAGAATCAGTTAGCTCACTCGGACCAGTTGAAAGTTCCAAAATAACATCCACTCCAGGGATACAAATTCAGGATACGCAGAAGACTGCTGTTTTATTATAGGCGGTTGTCATATATTGTATTATCCGAGTTGCACAGTGTATAAACTGAAACATTGAGATCAAAAGTGTCGACGCAGAGTGAGCGATCTGATTCTTTAGCTGTAAACTGTGTCACAGGGTTCAAAATGGCCGCGCCCTATGTTGGGCGTGTCGGACCTCTCTATTGCCTCGTATAGTAATCAAAGTATGTGCTAATAACTCTCTAATGGCCATTTGGTTGAAGGACATTGGTAACAAAAAAAATGAAAGTCACCACCACTAAATTTCTTCGTTCATACTATGTGTCACGTAACTAACTTATGTAATTGAGCTTGTCATATAAAGCAGAGTGATAAATTAAACACATTATAACAAAAAGGTGTACAAAAACTTATTTAGTTAGTGACTACTTTTATTTTATTATCTTAACCAATATTATTTATCTATTTTACTTTTAAACTATATAAGTGAAAATAAAAACATATTTAAAATTGTCTTAAAATACCTTCTCCCTTAGGAATGGAAATTATTTTATTGAAACTTTGGCTTAATTAGACGTATTAACAGTTAGTTAGCATTAAAGGTTTCGTAATTGTAATCAAAAAAACATTTTAGACAAAATAATTTAAAAAAACAATATTCGAGAAAAATTTCAGTTTACAAGGTAATGAGAAGACTGAAAACAAAAAAAAAGATACACACATAAGAGATATGTTAAAAATTAGGTGAATCGTGAATGTAAAAGCTTTGCAATCAGGTAAAAGACACACAAACAGAACTACCACAGTGGTACATACTGCAAAAGTAGTTCAACTTTCGTAAATTCACAATAAAATGGTTCTAAAATTTGACAAATAAAATAAAAATAAATGATATAATCAGCAGTTTTTTTGTAAATAAAAATAATTTGAAGAAAGGTCCTATCAATAGATAAGAGATTAATAAGATAATATAAAGCGATTTCTTGAAACATAATTACATTTTTTATAATTAAATTTATGCGAGCAACCGAATTTTAAAAATATATTTAAAATTTTTCATTCTAAATACAAAAAAATATCGTTACTTTAACATGTAAACCTTCTAACTCTATACGTAATAATTTTACAGGAGAAGCAAAAAACCGTTTCATTTAGATATTAGAAGAAAAAAAAAACTTAGATTATTAGGTCTTTATTAAAAGCTTCCTTTAAATAAAGACCTAATCGTCTAAAGTCTATTCAAATGTAATTTACGCCTGATGTAAACAGAAGCAGGTGGACGCTAAAATTGAGCAGGGCCGTATTTTACTTTTCCGTCTTGCAAAAATGTAAAATAAAAGAGTGTAATTGTGAAATTATTTTTTTATTACGATAAAAACATATTTTGTAAACTAAAATTATAAAATAAATGCCATACACGGTCTCCCAGACTTTAGTGAGATTTCTGGACGAAGATAGGTGAGCGACATAAACTGCGTTAACCTGCAATACAAATTAATAAATGTATTTGACTTTAAAAGAGATGTTTGCATTATATTTAGTTCATTACATATGTCTACTGTGATACAGAGCTTTAAAACAATCATATTATAAAATTATATTATACAGGGTGTCCAAATAATTGCAAATTCTTTAATAGCTAATATACATCTACTAAAAGCATTAAAAAAACTTTAAATAAGAGGTATTTGAATTTGGTATTTGATTTAAAATTGTGCATCTTAAAAAGAAACCTTTTGTATTTTTGACAACTTTTGTTCTTTATTGTTCTTGTTCTACTAGTATTTAGATTAGACACCACCCTGTATTATAGCAATCTTCCTTACTTGACTTAGCACTATTCTGAATCGGATAAATTAGTTAGACTTGAAGGGCTATCTTCATTAATCAAAATTACAAGTGGTTCTACCTGAGCCTCTATAATATTATCCAACTTCCACATTTTTACTTCAACTTTTTGGCGAACATGGTCGATACACTTTTTCCATTTTTTCTGGAGAAATTAATAATATTACTTCTTCAAAAAGAATTATAATGTCTCCAGATTTAAATGTTGAGTTTTTATCTGCTACGTATTGTTTAACGTCAACCTAGATTAATTTAATATAGGGTTAAGTTCACAATGATACGGAGACAGGTGAAGTATTATGTTGTTTTGTAGCTTAGCCATTTCATCTATTACATACCTATCATAATGTTTACGTTGCTTACCAAGTTTTAGAAGTTGGATCTTAAGCATTTGGTAGTCGAATTCAATTTTTTTCCCTTATAGCCATTTTTAAATATCACCTTTTTTAGACGTCGTTGTAGGTATTTTTTCCAGTTTTCTCGAATAATAATGCAGTTATCTTCTAATTTTGGTAAGGTGTTTGAAAACCACTCTTAGAACGATTCTCCACACATTTCTTCATGGTAGTCACCGGATTTTTCAACTCAAATACATAAAATGCATTAGAGACAAAGCCTTCTTCACTTCCAATATGGCATATAATGAGCTGTTTTTATGTACATACCTGATGGGTTTTTAATACCAGTTAAAAATTCATCCAAAAAGGCTTGTCTGGATGATAAAACCGACATATCAAAACATACTTTTGATTTGGTGTGGCCTGCGTTAATTCAAGTCGCATCAAGATAATATATTTTTTGCTTTTCTTCTCTGTACCGTTTTATTTTTTGTGGCGTATGACGAAACAATTTCATTTTTGTCTAAAAGCGAACTATTTTTTCCTCGAGTTTTAAATTTAAAATTAAGGGTTTTGAAAAGCTTGTAAAATGTAGCTCGCTCAAAAGTAGACAAATACGGATCATCGTTGACTTCTTATAAAACCTTATCGATTGTTGGAAGTTAATTTCTAAAGAAGAATTGACGTACTTTGCGCCTTATTGCATTTTTGTCAAAATCATCCACAGAGCCACTAATTTGTTTATAACGTAGCTTTCTTTTTGGTTCAGAAAATTTATGAATCTGCCTATACTCCTTCATAACATTAAAAACGGTTTTAGCGCACATCCCTGTTTTATCAGCAACTCTCCTTTCAACATCATGTACCAACATATCAGGGTTCTATAAAATTTAATGCTTATAAATATTAAGAACCATTTCTTTAGTACGGATGACCAAATTTTCGGTCGCTTTTTAGAAGGAGTAAAAACATTTTTCTGGACTTCATCTGCTGTATCCACTGTCCTTTGTGGAGGACATAGTGTCACGCAGCAGTAACAAAATATAGTCAATTAAATGTCCATAAAATAGAGTAAAAAATGTTCAAACTAACAACAACAAAAACAAAAAAATAAATAACACAATATATGTATATCTAAACTATAATATAATGAATTATAATCAATCAAACATACAAAATGTCCAAACTAACCAACACGGTGAATGCTACCAAAACGCCGTTTATAAGTATCCAAATTGAACTGAATTCGACTCTGACAAAAAATATTTGCGCGTCGTCTAAATGACTAACGACCGATTAACTAATAGAAGCGCAAAAAAATGCCACGTGAGCTGTTGCTGGATGGGAGAGATTGTTTTGACACGGCGTAAATGAAATCTGAATAGACTTTAATTCATTTTTTTCTCCTAATATCTAAATGAAACGATTTTTTGCTTCTCCTGTAAAATTATTACGTATGGAGTTAGAAGGTTTACATGTTAAGGTAACGATATGGAAAAACATATTTATGTTGAAATACGTTTGTAGTAATCTATTTTTTTAATCGGCAGTTCTGTGACAGAATAAATAGGTTGGTGCAAGCTTAAGGTGACACAAACAATGCAAAGCGATGATCTGTTTAATAATTATATCGATTTGACAAACCTATGTGTCGTCCTAGATCCGCACACATCCACGTTCATCCTAACAAAAAAGAAATAGAAACAACAAAAATCATAAATAAATAAAAAATAAAAAGTGATGATATTAAAAACAGAGATTGTATAAGATCTAAGACGGTGAGATTCGCGTTATAGGCGTTCTTCGCAGAAAAGTCTCGTATACATTATGTTTGAAATTCATATTAAACTTTTATTTTTCGTTTTCAAGATTATTTTACGAACTTCTAAGAGAAATATTTAAAAATTATACACTCTCAATTAATTCCTACATTGTGTTGTACAGGGTGTTATTTCAATACACGTCAATATTAAGCAGAGTACATGATGATCAAACATAATGGAAACTATTTTAACAATAAAATAATTAAAATTTAAAAAAATGGGTAAATTGTCCCTCTTTTTCCCAATCATTATTCTATGCTTGATTATTAAGCAATCTCAATTCTAAGCGATTTGAAGATCTAATTCGTAAAGCAATATTACCAATTTATAAGAAATCGGTTTTTATTAAACATATCTAAGGTTGTAAAACATGCTAAAAAATAAGTAGTATAGTAAATTCGGTATCTGGACAGTTTCCCAAATGATAATTATTCGAACGACATATATTCGAATAGACATTTATTCGAAAAGACAATTCATGGAACTATCAATTTTTTGAATGTATGATTCTTCGAATAGACAATTTTTCTAAATAAGTTGGTTTTATTTTATAATTTAATTTTAATAAGTATTATAATCCCTTTGAATTTTGAGAACAGGTAATCTTCAAAGTAAGATTTTATTTTATATAATTTAATTTTAATTAGAATTATAATCTAATCCCTTTGAATTTTGAGAACAGGCAATCTTCTAAGGTTTTATTTTATATAATTTAATTTTTTATTAGTATTATAATACATAATAAATTTAGTTTTGAGAAATTGTAATCTTTTAAAAAGGGTTTTTTGATTCAGATTAAATGCCATCCCTCTAATAAATAGGCAGGTAATTATTAATCCGACCATTTTAAACTCTTACATTAAATGGTATAAAACATTTTGATATTGTATTCAGTCTGATTTTAGTGTTTATTGTTGTAAAGGTTGAGAAAAACCGGCTTCGACATTACAGAAGAGTGGATTGGTTCTTTGCTGTTGGTGGGTTACCAGACAAATATTCTCCGATGTTGATGGCGATCGAGCATGCAGGAATCTGCATCACTACAGATATCATCAAAAGCAAGTTGCTCGATATGGTAACAGATAGCGGTAGCAGTAGCGAAGCAAGTGCGTTCATCACGAAAAGTAACTTTAGAAAAAAGTCCAAAGATGGCGCTCGCGTCAGAAAAGATGACCCAAAGTCATTGACGTTGACAGTTTTGACAATAAACACAGAAATAATAAAATAGACAGTGAAAAAGCTTTTGATACCGTCTGGACCTGCGGACTAATTCATAAAATGCTTGCGAGTGATTTTCCCGTTCATATCGTGAAAATAATTCAGTTATACATTACAGACAGACAATTTAACATTAAAATAAACAAGACAATAACAGGACCCTACACTGCGCAAGCGGGAGTACCCCAGGGCTCAGTACTGTCGCCCCACTTGTACACCATTATGACCCATGACATGCCAATGGGTGATAATGGGGTACAAACGGCACTATACGCCGATGACATCTGTCTTTTTGGCTAACGACAGGTCAGCCGAGACAGCAGTGAGAAAGCTGGACAACCATATAAACAGGGATTTAATCCCCTATCTTACAGAGAATAAGATGAAAATAAATGAAACAAAAACGGAGAGTATGATGACGTAGTCAGGGAATAATGACTCCTTTGAAAATAGGAGAGCAGGAAGTCCCTACTACAAACAAAATCAAATATCTAGGTTTTCTGTTAGATAGGGGGTTAACATTCGACCTCCACATCAAGGACAGAGTGGCTAAAAATCACGTAGCTATTAAAACCCTCTACCCTATTCTTAATAGAAGAAGCCGAGTTACTCTGTCCAACAAACTCCTGATGTACAAATACCTTCCTACGCCCCATCCTAACATATGGTTGCCCAGTTTTTTGCTCAATGGCAAACTGTCATTATATAAAACTTCAAATAGCACAAAACAGGTGTCTTCGGCTAGCCTTGGGCGTTATGCCAGAATCACAGTAATGCACCGACAAACAGACACACCACTAATCAAAGACTACGTACTAAAAACAGCCGAGAACTTCTACAAACGTTGTCTCCCCGATGATGTTAGGGATAGTATCCTAAACATACATCGAGGGGATGGCGTGCGTAGAAAGCACGGCTGTATACACGCCAAACTTGACATTTACAGACACAGACAATAACTAGACTAGCATAATTTTTATTTACAAATTTTAAAAGACAACAACATTCCTCCATAACGATCACAGACAAACTAACTAACAGCTCACGCCAACTGGGTACTTACACAAACCAGTCGGACGGGGACTGAACGGTAGACTAGCCATCGAGGCAACAACCGCGATTATTGCGAAAATTGCCGCGATGGAAGGTCTATCGATCACTCAGCCAGTGAGTTGTATTACACAAACATAGACTTAATCAACAAACGCACACACAAGGACAACCCTGTTTTTTCTAGCTTTTTCAGGGGACAATAACCAGAACAAAAACACGACAAATCCTTTAAATAACATTCCATTCCTGATTCCAAAAGACCCCAAAATCCCCTAATAATACCGATCAGGTAAGGAGTAAGGGCTGCTACGTTTACCAGAAATATTTTGTCGTAAATAAATATTGTAAATGGCGGATATACTCTATCCTCCATAGTCCGGAGGGCTCGCGTGAAAAACCCGCCGCTCGGGTTCGGTAGTGTGGTGAATGCAATATTTATTATATGTCATGTACATAAATTTTTATTTGCAAATAAAGTTTTCTAAAGTAAGTAAGAAATAATGAAATAACGTGTTTCAGATGTAAACAACCAGCCCATTTTATGTCGAAATGCCCTCGTGGTGCCTCCGGATCTGGAACTAACAATAATTCGTCAAGATAATATGAAAAATACGCGTTTAGTACTGTGTTTCTGAATGGCAATTACAACAAAGATGACTTTAATTTAGATTCGGGCGCAAGTTAACATATGATGCCAAATAAAAGTTGGATTCAAAATTGTTCACAGCCAAGTTATTCATGAAATTGTCGTCGCCAGTGAAATGTTTAGGAGATTTAGATATCATAACCTCAGTGAGTGGAAAATCCTATAATATAACTATGGAGGATGTCTTGTGTATTCCAGAATTCACTATAAATCTTTTATCAGTAAGCCAACTTATTTCAAAAGGTAACAATGTTTCATTTACTAGTAATGGGTATTTTATTTATAACCAAGAAAATAAGTTTTTGGCTACAGCAGACTTACTCAATGGAGTATACAAACTCAACTTGAAAGTAGAAAATTGCATGTTAGGTTTGTGTGATTACTCAGAGATATGGCATAGACGGCTGGTACATATCAATAGTCAAACATTGCATAAAATGAAAAATTGTGTTGATGACTTGACATTAAGAGGAAAGTCCCATTTTGACAAAAATAATTGCAATGTGTGCTGCGAAGGCAAACAATCGAGATTACCATTTTCAAATGAAGGTGTGCGAAGCAATTATGTATTGGAGATTATACACGGTGATGTCAGTGGACCAATGGAAGTCTAGGTGGATCCCCATATTTCCTTCTGCTCATTGACGATTTTAGCAAAAAGTGAAGCTTTTGAGCAATTTAAGGAGTTCAAGTCCATGGTTGAAACCCAAAAAGGTAAGAAGATTAAGATTCTTAGAACTGACCAGGGTGGCGAATTTTGTAGCAAAAAATTTGACAGCTATTTAAAGAAGGCATGTAAAATTCATCAAAAAACAAATACCTATACTCCCGAACAGAATGGTGTTGCTGAAATATTCAACCGAACCATTGTAGAAAAGGCAAGATGCCTCTTGTTTGATTCTGGACTAGGTAAGAGATTTTGGGATGAGGCAGTTAATACTTCTAACTATTTAAGAAATAATAAATCTCCGTTTGAACTGTGGTACGGTAAACAACCTGACATACCAGGCTTGCGTATTTTTGGTAGTACAATTATGGTACATGATCCCCAAAAGAGAAACGTCTAAAATTTGACAAAAAATCTAATAAACATATTTTGGTAGGATATTCTGAAGAAATAAAAGGCTATCGAGTTTATAATCCTAAAACAGATGATGTCACAACTAGCACAGATGTATATATCTATGAGGATCTAAATACTAAGACTTTTGACATTATAGTTACTGAAAACAAGGAAGAATTACCAATTTCAGTGGGGGAAGATAACTCAGATGTTAGCTTAATCCAATAAGACAACTCAGATTTAACCACAAGTTCCATTGATGATACCTTAATAGCAGATAATCTAAGTGACAGTGACTACGTGCCAGTTAACACATCAGAATAGTCTTTTAGTGATAGTATAATGCCTAGAAAGTCGGAAAAAAAGGTCAAAAAATTTGATGAATGTGTGACTTATTTAAGTCCAGCTGTTCAGAACTACCCAGATGAAGCTCCAGTAGGTGTCACAGAGGCTCTATCACGACCTGATGGCAGCCTGTGGAGGCAGGCCATGGCAGACTAGTTGAAGAGTCTCCAGGACAATGAAACTTGGGAACTGGCAGACTTGCCAGAAGGTTGTGCTTTAGTGCAGTGTAAATGGGTATTCAAAGTGAAGGTTGACAGTGCTAACAATAAAACCTACCGGGCTAGGTTAGTAGCTAAGGGTTTTACCCAAATAGAAGGAATAGATTATAATGAAACCTTTTTGCCTGTTGTTAGGCACTCTACCCTAAGGTTGTTAATAGCTTTAAGTGTAAAATTAGATTTAGACATCTTCCATCTTGACGTAACCACAGCCTTTTTACATGGTCATTTAGAGGAGACCGTTTTCATGAGCCAACCTGAAGGTTTTGTAAATTCAGATGGGTCAAATAAAGTGTTAAAATTGAAACGTGCCATTT